AAAAGTTCAAAGGGGCAATGGGGCAATTAACGACGTGGATAATTTCTCAAATCATTACTCTATAGTCTGACAGTGTACTATTTCGAAGAAATTTACGATAAACATTTGTTATACTACAAAAATATAAAAAATTCGATACTTACTTATTCCTTTATTACTATTTTATATTATTAAGCGAGCTACTCGTAAAGGGATCCGAGCCCACCTACCTACTCCAACGACTCCCTGACCTCCTGTGTCGAGCTCCCCAGAACCCAGATTCTTCTTTTTTTTTAGTTTTCCTGGCCGTAGATCTCTATGATTTTCTATGGAAAATAGGAAATAGAAAAGCAGGGTGAAGAGACCTCTTTTCCCTCCCAATCCTTTTCTTGAAAACCACACCCAATTCACATCCTGCTCAGTTAATCCCCTGCGAGCCAGGGCAATCAATGCTGGCAGGCAGACAAATGTGTTGACATTCCGGATGTACTGTGGAAGTATCATGGGACGCTGGACCCGGTTTCCAGCAGGTGTGGCTCCCCACCAATAGATCGGAGCATGTTGGTTTAAAAAGACAAAAAAGAGAAAATGAAGGGCTGAGGATAAATGATATATATATAAATAAATGGGGAGCACGCAGCTGATCGATCAGTGAAGACAGTTCGAGGAGAAACCAGCTGTGTCCTGAGCCGGGGGCCAGGTCCCCCACTAGCTAAGAGGATTGGAGTTAAAGCGTTATCTGCACTTGTTTGTGGAGACATGCAGACAATTGGGACTGATCTGCATTTCTGCATCTCTGTGGAGACATGCAGACAATTGGGATTGATCTGCATTTCTGCATCTCTGCGTAAAACACATCCAGATTCAAGACCGTAGTCCAATCCTCTTTGCCAGTGGGACCTCGCCCCGGTAGAGCATCACAGCCTTTGACATCGTAGGTAGTAAAAAGGTGAATTTGAGTGAAGAATGTGGCTCAGTTTGCATAATTTTCCAAGAAAAGGGAAAAAAGCGGGAAAGGAAGCAAAAAAAAAGAGGGGGGGGGAAGGAAGAAAAAGGGAAAAAAAGGTGAAAAAAAGGGAACTTCAACAAAGGTGAAAAAAGGGCAAAAAGGGGAAACCAGGGGGTCGGGCGGGGAGGGGAAAAATGCTAGGCTACCTGCCGGGCCGCCCGGGTCCCGGGTGGCCAGCCCGTGCAAGGACCAGGGAAGGTCTCAGCAAAAACAAAAAAAAACAAAAAAAAAAAACGATGGTCTCAGCAAAAACAAAAAAAAACAAAAAAAAAAACCGAAAAGAAACTATCTTATGCAGAAAAATAAACTGAACAACTTTTGCCTCAGGGTCACATCGAAATTCTTCAACAAATTTAGAATAAAATATATATCTATATATTTGGCCCGGCCGGGCAAGTGACCCCGGGCCACTTTGGTAGCCTAGGAAAAATGGGAAAAATGAAAAAAAAAAAAGGGAGAAAAGGGAAAAGAGGGGAAATAGAGAAAAAAAGGAAAACAATGAAAAAAAAGGGGAAAAAAAGGGAAAAAGGAAAAGAAGGGGAAAAAAATGGGAACCACACAGAGAAAACGGAGAGAAGATTATTTTACTAAGCACGGCCGCTGCGCAATGAAGGATGATGACACGCACAAAGAGAAATGGTCCAAATCAAACCAATAACAAAAGGAAAAAAAGAGACATTTAACTCAGTAAAATTGGGACGATATAGAGAAGAGAAGACTACCGTCTTCCTCCGAACATACGGCACCATGAAAATGAACGTATACAAGGTATGTTTCCGGCCCGATACAGTCCAAATGAGGATGCTTTGTGCTCGGGGGAAGACGGTAGCAGGGCCTTGCACTCTGAGACAGCAGACTCCTGAAAAACTAATCCGCGCAAAAAAAAAACAAATTAGCATAATCCTCGTCAAAATCACTATCTGCGCAATCAACGATCGACACGCACAAATCAACCGAGAAAAGTTGCAGAAAAAATAATAAAATTAATATATAAAAGAAAAAAGTTCGAAAAAGCCTCGAGGCGTCATCATCATCATTATTATCATCATCATCATGGCGACAAGTTTCACCCAAAGTCATCCACCCCCTTGTCATCATCATTTTCATCATCATCATGATCACCACCATCATCATCATCATCATCACCCAGATCGCCAATCTAACAGTGCCCTTCTCACAGTGTCCTTCTGACAAGCATAAATCGAGAAATGGTCCAATCTAAGTGTCCTTCCCTGTTCTTATTCGGGAAAAAAAAAAAAAAAAAAAGTGTCCTTCGTCTTCTCGTCCAGATCGTTTGGACGAGTGTTCGGTGAGTTCCGCCAACGACCGATCAGAGAACTTTTTTTTTTTTTTGACTAAGCTACATTTTTCTCTCATTTATACCTCACTACCTACCTACCTATATGTCTTAGCACCACCCTCCACCCATGTCAAAGAACGGCTGTGTAATCCGAGGAGGAATTTTTCACTCTAGGCTTGGTCCTACCCCCCGGTTAAAAAAAAAAAAAAAAAAAAAAAAAAGGTCCTACCCCCCGATGAGGGCCGGAAAGGACGAAGGCATACCCCCCCCTACCAAACCAAAAAGGGGGGGCAAGACGACTATACCTCAGATGGTGAATCCGCAGCGCGCAACAGGAGGCCATAGGGATTGCACAGAAAGCCGTGGGGAATCGAACCCCCCTGGACCTCCTGAATGCCCCTTCCGTACTCTCTACCAACTGAGCTACTGGTAGGCCCGTGGCCCCGTCAGGAAAGGAAAATTCGATGTCATTAGACATTGAAATTTTCCTATAGCAAAAAAAAAGAAAAGAAAAGAACAAAAAAAGAAGAAGAAAAATTGCCTGTAGCATTACACTGCACACTCTCATACGTGGATGGGAGTGTCCGCTGTTAACGAGAGTGTGCACTGTGATTCCCTAAGAAGAAGAAGAAGAAGAAGGAGAAGAAGAAGAAGAAGAAGAAGAAGAAGAAGGAGGAGGAGGAGGAGGAGGAGAAGGAGGATGGGGATAGTAACAACCAGTGACACCATAGCTGCTTTCCGAAGAAGTGGACATTGCTGGTAGTATTCGGAAGAAGAAGAAGAAGAATTGATAATTGAATTGATAATAAAGCGAGGCCAATCGCTAAGCGTCCATGTCTCAATGATGTACAATGAAGCACCTGCACGGACTAACAGCTCAACGCGTGGAAAACAGTGGCCAACTGCCTTTCGTACACGCATCGAAAGGTCTTCATTACAAAGCCGCGCTTACTCGTCTCAGCTCTCGCGCACATTCCCCGACGCGTTTCGATCGGTTGCGCTCCGATCGTCCTCAGGGGGCTAACCTCATGACCCCGCCTTGTGGCCCCACCGTCTGGGCCTCGCTCCATCACTCACCACATGCACAAAAGACAAAAATAGTGGCGGTGTAGCTTTAAAAGTTGTCGTGGAAGATTCTTCATTCTCAATTGAATCGCATTCGGTGATTGGTGGAGTGAGGGCCGAAGAACCGTGAAACAGGGGAAACAAACAGAGGCGAAGTTAAAACCCAAGGCCGATCCTCGATCGTGGACATGGCTGGAAGACGATAGAGAAACGACAGGGGCAAGCAGGTAAAACTACGAGAGACAAAAAAAAA